TTTTATATTTTTTATATTTTTTTTTATTTTTATTCGTCTATTTTAATTTTTTTTTGTTTTTCTATTTAGTTCACTTTGCAATGAAAAAAGGGTCAAGTTTTAACAAATTCTAAGATAAGTTAGATTTTCATTTGGTTAGGTTGAAATAAAAATTGAGTTGATTTGAGTTAAAATCAGATTAAGATGCAGAGATATGATTAGATTGGATTGGTATGGGTTGTAGTTAAATTAGTATTTATTAAGTTAGGATTGGATTATGGTGAATTATGTTAAATTCAGATTATATTCATATTATGTTTGTGATATAATTAAATTAAAAGCATTTTAAGACTCTATAGTTAATTTCATATTTTTATATAATAGTAGACAATTTTTTCATCTATAATAGATAAACAAATCTTGGCATCACCAGAAAATTAATTCAAAATTTGCTCATGAATACTTTCTCTAAAATAAGATCTTATCAATTTTCAAAGCTATTTCAGCTTCTAGTGACTAATTTGATAAATATTGGATTGTTTTGAAGGTCATTTAGGATTATATCTGGTTGTCTTAAAATGGTATTTCTATGATCTTTAGATCATATGATTGCTTCATTTCAAAAATTTCAAGAATTTGTAATTTAAATAATTGATTTTCAGCACTCATAGGTAACCCTATTTTCTTACATATTAATATACATTTTCTCACCTCCTTTAGATTTCCAGATGGTAAAATTAGTATTCAGTATCATTACTTTTCGAATAGCTCCTTTTGCTTCAGTTCTGGTATTTACACCTGCTTGAGATTCTTCCGTGATGAAGCTCAAAATAATTGCTTTCAGTATTTCTCAAATAACTCTGGATGGGATGATTGGATTTGGATGTTTTTGAGCTTGTTTGAAAGATCAGAATTTACCAAATATGCATGTCAAATCTGAAATCTTTGGTCCAGTGGATGGCGAGTTATTCGCGTTCAAATTTCGTTATAGCATATCGAAACTTTGAAATTAAAAAAAAAATATTTTTTTTAATAATTTATATTTTTTTTATTCCAATCCGGGTCTTATTATATTTTAATTTTTTAATATCATTTTTTTTTATTTTTTATCCCCTTCGGTCTTTTTTATTTTTCTCTTTATCTTATTTCTTTTTTATTTAATATTTTTTTTTATTTAATATATTTATTTTTTCTTATTAATTTTATTTATATTTTTCTTTAGTTCCCCCGGCCTTTTTCTTCTTTACTCTTTTTATATTTTTTTTTTTTTCATTTTTTTAAAAATTCACCCTCTCAGTATTTTTTTATTAATTATTTTTTTTAAATTCTATCCTTTTTTTAAAAATTTCCCCCCCCATTCCGGTCTTTTTTATTTTTTAATTTTTTTTATATAATTTTTTTATATTGAATTTTTTTATTTTTTTTTAATTCCCCACGCCCAGTAATTTTTATTAATTTTCTTATTTATATTTTAATTTTTTTATTTTTTAATTTCGTTTTACATTTATTATTATTTTTTTTTTTTTTGATTTATATTATTTTATATTATTTTTTATTATTTTTTTTTGATTCCTTCCGCCCTGTATTTTTATTTTTTTTTAATTTTAATTTTATTCTTTTCTTATTTTCTTTTTATTTTCGTTTAGTTTTTTCATTTTTTTCATTTTTCTTTAGTTTCACTTTTTTCTTTTTTCTTATTTAATTTTTTTGTTTCATTATTATCATTTAGTTTTTCTTTTTTATTTTTTTCTTTCGTTTTTTAGTTCTTTTTTATTTGTTTTTTAGTTTTCATTTATAGATTTCGTTGTAGATTTTATTTTAATTTTCTTTTATTGTTTCGTTATTTTAAAATATAAAATAAAAAATAAATGAATGAAAAAATCAAAATAAAAAAATAAAATAAAAATAATTAAAATATTATTTCGCCAGATCTCAGCGAAATGCTTGTTTTTTATATTATTTGTTCCTCTGATTTTTTATTAATTTTCTTTATTTTTTTAGATTTATATGTTTATATTATATTTTTTTTATTTGTCTTCCTTTTCCCGTTTAATTTTTTTTTATTAATTTATTAATTTTTTTTTATTTTTGATAGTTTATATATATATTTACATTATTTTATTAATTTTTAATTTCAATTTTATTTATTCTTATTTAATTTAATAATTTAACTATTTTTACCTTTTTTTCTTAATTATTAATAATAACAATTGCGATTTTAAATATACCAGTGACTTATTGTTTCTGAAACCTGTGGCATCGTCTTAGCTGAATTGCTAGTAAAAATAATAAACAATATAAACAATAATAAAAAGAAAATTTCATCACGCATCTGTGTTTTCGTGATGAACCAAAGGGTGTCACATCTGAAAGGACAGAATCATTCCTAACCAAAATTGAAAAAAGCCATTAGATTTGATTAATAATCAAAAAAATTAGTAAATAATAAAAAAGTTACCTACCTTACTATATCGCTGTAACAAACCAAAGTGACGAATCTACTGATCTAACCTATAAAATAATAAACCAAAAAAAAAATAAATAAAATTATTAATCAATATTATGAACTGATTAATTAATTATTAATTAAGAAAATAATTAACAATAGGAATAAACAATACATAATATTAGAAAAAAAAATGCACCTGACTGTGCTACCGCAACAGACCAAATCCTTTTTTTTAAAAAAAAAATATTTAAACCACCTTTATTCCTTAAGGTAGATTTCTCCTCTACCTTTACCTTTACCTTATCCTCTACCTTTTAGTGTTAATATTAGTGTTAGTGTTAGTGTTAGTGTCAGTGTTAGTGCTAGTATTAGTGTAAATATAATAATAAGGTATATAATAATGGCCGGTCGTTGGAAATATGCGAATTGCCTAAAAAGGAGAATTTTTTGAGGAAAAGGAAATTTTTTTGTTGCTCAAAGGCCCAGAAATCCGGTTTACACTAATAAAATCACACGTATTTTTTTTTTACCATACTCCTTTATTATAGTATGTTAAATAATACAAAAAAAAAACAAAAAAAATAATATTAAAAAATATATATATATAAAATAAAAACGATATAAAAAAATTATAAAAATACTGGGAAGGAGAAAAAAAATAAAAATAATTTAATATAATTAAAAAATAAATACGTGAAGGTGAATTAAAAAAAAATAACATTAAAAAAATTAAAAAAAAAGACCGCAAGGAAGAATTAAAAAAAAAGAAAAAAATAATTAAAAAAAAAGACCGGGGGAAGAATTAAAAAAATAATTAAAAAAAGTCTGCGGGGGGAATTAAAAAATATAAGATAAAAAAATAATTAAAAAAAGACCGTGGGAGAGTTAAAAAAAAAGTCCGCAAGGGGAATTAAAAAAAATAGATAAAAAAATAATTAAAAAAAAGACCGGGAGAATTAAAAAAATATAAAATAAAAAAAATCCGCGGGGGTGGAATTAAAAAATAAAAAAAATTATAAAAAAAAATAAAAAAAGGTTGGGGGAAAAGTAAAAGATAAACTTTGCAGAAACTTTTCAAATCGAAATGAAGTCGTGACTGAATTGAATATTTATTGTGGACCTGCTAGTCAAGATTTGGTCACGATTTAGTCAAGAAGATTGACAGTATTTGACTATTCAGTTACTGGGAATTAAGACGATCGTCACCTGATTTGGTCAGCTTCGTACACAAGAATCATGATTACATTACATAATTGTATTTTCAAATTTGTAAAGAAATAGTTAATAAAAAGTAAAGTTTTATTTAATAAATTTTAAAGAAATAATAAAGGTTTTTTTAATAAATTGAAAAGTTTTATTTAATAAATTGTAAAGTTGTATTTTCAAAATCGTAAACAAGTCGTAAAATGTTCTACAAACTCTATTTAAGAAATAGTAAAGTGTTCTATTCTAACACAAATCGATTATAATAATAAGATGTAAAATTTTCTATAATTATAAACTGTAATGTAAAATGATATATTAATATATTGTAAATAATAAACATTAAACTACTTTGAAAAAATATAAATTTCGCATATACAAATCGTTTCTAAAATCATGATTACTCCCAATGCATTCATTCTCCTTACAATTATGAATGAAATGCGAAATGTTAATTGCGTTCACCAAATTAATAGAGAAAACTCTTCGCCAGTTATTTTCCAGTCTTCTTATTAACTTGTATACCGGGCAGCCTAGAATTTTTTGATTTGCTTTACTGAAACACATGAAATCGGAGCTAGGTAGTAGCCATGTAGCCACTACATATATTATAAAAAGTAGTAGGCGTATGGCTAACATGACGTAACAGTCATGTTAACGTATAGCAATAGTAAAGTATAATATAGAAAATATATAGCAAAATATAGTAATAGTCTAGCAGTTGTATAGTAATAATAAAGAATATGTATCGCGATTATAAAGTAATATATTGCTAATTAAAAGTAAACATATAAATGATTTAAAGTAGATGTATAATAACTTTGTAGTAAATGTATGTATTCTTTGCAATAAACATATAGTAAATTCATAATACAAATATAGTAGTTGTATGTAAATATATGCTATTCTATTAGAAAAAGATAAATCCGATTCAAATTCGCCAAATCCGATTTGATTCGAGTTCGGTCTCGCTTAATATCAGATTTCGTCATACATATTATACAGTAGATAATTAATGAGATAATGCACATTTACAATACATTTTTCACGCATTTCTCTGGCTGCACGTCCTACTCCACGCTTTGACTCTGGTGAATGATTGTAAAAGAATCGATTTATTATTATAATTATTGTAAAGGATGTATTAAAATAAAGAATGTATAATAAAAGAATGAATAAAATAAAACTTATAAAATATGTTTTTAAAATTATATCAAATTATGTGCAGAGTTCGCAAAGAATAAGTAAAATAAAGTAAATAAGTGTAATTTTCGTAAAGAATAAATAATAATGCAATTTTTTAAAAAATAAAATAATATTGTTGTATAAGTTCAAAAATTTTAAATAAAGTTTAGTTTAAAGAAATACTCTATTCTACCAGCGAAAGTTTTGAGGCGATATTTTTTCCGGATCTACTTAGCACCATACAATCTACTGTAATATTATCAAGTTCTTTGGTGCTGTAAGAAATATAATGTACCTTAAATGCTTCTCTAACCATTAATGCAAGTCGTTCCATTATCCCACATCTTTTGAGTTTGTTAATGTTAGTACCCTTTAAATATCTATTCAATATTTTTTCAGCAACCTCTAGAGATATAAATTCTTCGATTTCCAAGTTCGTTAGCGCAGTCATTTGTCTTTATCTTGTTCGTATTTCTTTAAATTCTTGAACTTTTGCAGCGACCTTTTATTAAATTTACTACGAAAGTCTGTTAAAACCCATTTAGAATGACAAATTACCTCTTCTGCTTCATTACTATATAGCACATAGTTAAATATTTTGAAAATAAGACTTTCGATAGTTGCGTCTGATGGATTCCTGTTTCGAAGGAAAAGGCATTTTATTTCCTCATGCCAAAGACGAGCTAGTGATCTTTCTTCAGGCTGTGTAATTCCAGGCTTTGTGATTTGTGGAATTGCAGTAGGCAAATTGGATATATTGACAGAAGAATCTAATAGCGTATTAAAAACATTGAACATCTATTTCGCCATCATTAAAATATTTGGCCTTTCTATTACTAGCCATTGGCAAACTTCAAAAGAGTTTGTCACATCCTTAAATGCTCCGGGTCTTCCTAAAATCAATTAAATTGTTAAATTGTTAAATATATTAATAAAGTGATATAAAAGACTTAAAGTAATGAAATTTTGACATATTTGCCAATCTTCTTATTAGAATTTTGACAACTTTCACATTATCGTCAAAGGTTTCGTGAATGTCATCATTTTTTTGTTTTTGGTCTTT